AAGACACATGTTCTAAACAGTTACTACGGCTCTCACACTCACACGTGTTGCTCTGACATCTCGCAGCCCTAACAGACCGACCGCGGCACAGACCTCGTTCATTCATCAATCTATTGGCCTGCTGCATGCAATCCAAACACATGGAAGAGTTGTGCTTCCCGTAAAACGCAGCCGATAAAATCCCCCCACCACCACACCACACACCCCCCACCCTGAAAAAAAGTACTGGTCTGGTCCGAAGGCAGATACCTCACTTCCCAACAGAGCACGGTGCATTTCCTGAAACTCACAACTGCTTGTACTGCGGCCAAAGCAAACGTAAGCGGATGGAAAAAGAGAGAGAGAGAGAAAGACAGAGAGAGAAAATAAACGCATAAGGCAACAGCGAGGGAGTTTATCAAAGAAGGTCAAAAAAATAGATATTGAAGTTTTGAAAAAGTGTATTTCTGCAGTGATTATCTACAGTACAGCAACGGTCTGCAAGATTTTACCTGGGAGAGAAACTGTTTCGGGACAGAAGTGGCAGAGGGAGACAAGAGAGAGACCAGAGAGAACAGAGAGAGAGAGACCAGGGAGAGATCAGATAGAGAACGGAGAGAGAGAGACCAGAGAGAGACCAGAGAGAGAACGGAGAGAGAGAGACCAGAGAGAGACCAGAGAGAGAACGGAGAGAGAGAGACCAGAGAGAGACCAGAGAGAGAACAGAGAGAGAGAGACCAGAGAGAGAACAGAGAGAGAGAGACCAGAGAGAGAATGGAGAGAAAGAGACCAGAGAGAGAGAGAGCAGAGAGAGACCAGAGAGAGCCCAGAGAGAGAACGGAGAGAGAGAGACCAGAGAGAGACCAGAGAGAGACCAGAGAGAGAACAGAGAGAGAGAGACCAGAGAGAGAATGGAGAGAAAGAGACCAGAGAGAGAGAGCAGAGAGAGACTAGATTGAGACCAGAGAGAGAATGGAGAGAAAGAGACCAGAGAGAGAGAGCAGAGAGAGACTAGATTGAGACCAGAGAGAGACCAGAGAGAGAGACCAGCAAGTCCAGAGAGAGACCAGAGAGAGACCGGAGAGAGGCAAGAGAGTTCAGAGAGAGACCAGAGAGAGACCAGAGAGAGACCAGAGAGAGGCCAGAGAGAGACCAATAAAGCACCTCTTAATCTGAAGGAAAATGTAAGTTTCAAACCGCATAGTTATTATAAATCTTGGCTGGATGAAAAGGAACCGTGGAATGATGCAATAACGACAGTGGTGTTAGCGGCTCACGCGGGACCGACGCTGAGAGCTCTGGTTATGGCTCAGGTCGGTCCTACACACTCTCACTTCGGCCCTGACCCACGCTTGCCATTTCCTTTGGAGCCTGGCAAGAGAGAAAATGATTAAATAAAATATGCAGCAGGAGCAGGGAGTGGTGCAGAGCCGTGGGGCCAGAGCGCACCCTGCTGGTCACAAGAGGAAACGGTTCTTTAAACGCCTTGGTGGTTATGACATACTTATATAATCTTATGTTGTTGTGCTGCTGTGCTCCTCTGTTTGTATGGACACAGGTCATGATGTATGTTTTTGTTTGTGTGAAATTTTCTGTTTTTTATGCAATTCAATTTTCTATTCAATTTATTCTTGTATAGCCCTAAATCACAACAGTAGTTATCTCGGAGGACTTTACAAAACCATCAGAGAATCAAGCAGTTCAAACTACAAAAAACACATAGAGCCATTGGTCACAAAGAATGGAGTTTTGACTTTCCTGGTAAAGGCAAATCATGAAGATCTTAGAAAATCAAATAAATCCAAGGCACTCGTGGTCAATAGTTTAGATTAGAAAATTTAGAAAGCCTTTATTTTGTCATGGCTGTAAGTTAAAATACGCACCAACACGTTTCAGCCTAGTTTGGCCTTCTTTAGGATGCAAATGGTGGCACCAATGGTTTTTTGAGAAATAGTCATAAGAGGCAGAGACCAATGTCCATAAATGTTGTTGAATGTTGAGTGTCCTGGATCATCACCCACTGTCCTTTTAGTTAGACCCTCAGACTCCTGCATCAGCAACGAACAACTGTAAAACCCAACGGGAAAAGGTGAGAAACCTCGGGGAGATCCACACTGATAGAGAGGGAATGGGCAGTGATGATGGAGGTGAATGACCCACTGTCCAAATATTGGTCCTATGGCTCCTATGTGTCTGTTTTGTATTATATTTCCTGTGTTCAAAGTGTTTGATTCTCTAATCTGTTGTTGAAGAATTCACAACTCTGTAAAGTCCTCTGAGACAGCTCCTGTTGTGATTTAGAGCTACACAAAATTACATTGAAATGAATTGATCTGTGTATGTTGAAGCCAGTATGAGCCATGTAGTAGTACTGGAAACAGACACATTAGTAGTAGCAGTCATAGTAGTATTAGCAGAAGTATCAGTAGTAGTAGTGGTAGTATTAGTACTGTAAGTAAGTAATGAAGTAAGTATTCTTAATTTATATAACACCTTTCACAGACCAGAGTCACGCATTACATTTCTTGTGGGCCTTTGTCGCTCACTCAGAGAAGGGAGTGAGGTTGCCATACAGGAGGGAGGGGAAACTGGAGCACCCGGAGGAAACCTACGCAGACATGTGGAGAACGTGCAAACTCCACTTAGAAAGGCCCTGTTCCAACCGGGATTCAAACCCAGGACCTTCTTGCTGAGAAGTGAGATTGCTAACCACTCAGCCTGCTAATACTACTACTGCAACTGATGCTACTGCTAATATTACTATTACTACTACTACTACTACTACTACTACTACTACACCTTCTTCTTTTACTACTACTACTACTACTACTACGCCTGCTTCTGTTACTACTACTACTACTAATACTACTACTATGCCTGCTTCTTTTACTACTACTACTACTATACCTGCTTCTTTTACTACTACTACTACTACTACGCCTGCTTCTGTTACTAATACTACTACTACTAGTACGCCTGCTTCTGTTACTACTACTACTAATATTACTACTACTACGCTTGCTTCTTTTACTACTACTACTACGCCTGCTTCTGTTACTACTACTACTAATATTACTACTACTACGCTTGCTTCTTTTACTACTACTACTACGCCTGCTTCTGTTACTACTACTACTACTATTACTACTACTACGCTTGCTTCTTTTACTACTACTACTACGCCTGCTTCTGTTACAACTACTACTACTAATACTACTACTATGCCTGCTTCTGTTACTACTACTACTACTACTATTACCATAAACAAATCAGTCCCACTGAGAAGAGACCAGGGGAAGACCCAGGACACGCTGAATGGACTGTGTCTCTCTGTGGCCTGGGAACGCCTCAGGATTCCCCCAGATGAGCTGGAGGAAGCGTGTGTCTCTGCTCAGACCGGAACCAGAGCCAACTGGTCTCCTGCACATGAGGCAGACTCCGACCTGATCCTCGGTCTCGGACTTACTGCTGTCCTCCCGGTCGTAAACCATCTGGCTCCAGAAGCATTTAAGGATCTTTATCTGCACTAAATATATTACACACATCAGCGCAGACTTATGTCATCTTTGCTCTAATCCTGGCTCTGGGTTTCATTTTTACTGTAAAAGCCTGTTGTTTATAGACCGACCAAACTGAGAGACATTCATCACAATGTGTTCATAAAGCACAATCTGATAAACGCAAAAAGGGCTGGAGTGGCTGCAGGTTTTCATTCCAACCCAGCAAGAGCACACACCATCCACCCATTTCCTCAGGGCTTCAGGTCCAAACGCCCTTTGTGGACCGCTTAAAGCAAACTTGTTTAGTAAAAGGGCCACAACATGGATTCTAAAATTGATTTCACTCTGTTCTGGGATTTGTGATTCTTGTTTTGTTCAGCACTTTGAGTTGCCTATTGTATAAACTGTGCGATACAAATAAACGTGCCTTGCCTTGGGATTTAAAATGGGGTATGATTTGTCTATTTTGATTAACACCAAAGCTACACCGGTCCCATTTTGTGACACAAACAAAAACAATCGTCAGTAAAAATTACAAGGTTCTAAGCTTTACAAAGAAATACCCCTATAATGGTGGAGCTGAAGTTGGATGGATGATACTAGGACAGTATCTGAACGGCTGGTTTGTGTTAGAGGCAGAGGGCCACAAGTTGGATATACCTGGGTTTCATTTTCATTTTCATTGTCAGAGTAAATGCGCCGGACCTAGCATAAACCGTAGTCCTAATGAACGATTACAAAACAGAACACAGACGGACAATATGAAGGCAAAGCAGACGCAGAAAATGAAAAACAAAAATAAACAGGTCAAAACCCAAGAAGAATGGCACATCATTTTTACTTTAACTCGTTGAGAATATAATCTGAAACTTAACTGGTAATTTGATCTTAAACAAGTCCTAGAGATAAGTATTAGATTATTAGGATCAAGGTCATGTAGTGTTAAACCAAGCATGTCCAAACTCTGGCCCGCGGGCTAATTGCGGCCCTCTGTGCCCTTTTAAGTGGCCCTCTGCTGCTCACACAAAGTCGCCATTGAGGCACTTTGACAGTGTCATTCAACCAACTCCAGCTCCACCAATACAGTCAATTACCTTGTTGTTTATGTCAGAGCCTTAATAAGGACGTATCTATCATAACCCATTTTAAATCCCAGGATCCGGTCAATCCAGCTCCAATCCAGTTTTGAATGAGTTTACATGATGTGTTTTATGTCTGCGTGAAGAAGGCAAGACAGCCGTGACTATCATGTGTGTATGGGTCTCCATTAGGGCCAAACTGGGCTCCAACCAGGTCCAATTACCAGGACAAATGCTCCCCTGTTTCACATATAGACCAGCACAGATACAGTCCCTACTCACTTCAAAGTCTATTTCCATCATGTCCCAACCTCAGCAGCGGCGGTTCACATTAACGCAGATACATGCCTGGCCTCCTGCGTGTACAGAGCTGGAGAAACCACAAGGCCCGACCGTCAAGAGGCCCTCTGTTCGGGCACATTAGCTGGAACACTGGACCCTCTCAGGGAGCTCCACACCTGGCGGCGGATGGGCCCGACATCAGAGGCAGGGCGGCGGCCGGGCTGGTCACCTGAATAAACCGGGCCGCCTGCACACGTCTGAAAACCTGGAGTCCAAGAGAGCGAGAAGTGGGGGACGTCCTACACAAACAGACGGCTCAGGTGCTACTACTGCTGCTGCTGCTGCTGCTGCTGTGGCTGTTTTTATTCAGGAGAAGGGGAGCGAGCGGGAGGTGGAACAGTGGAGAGCGTATTTACACAGGTGCTTTTAATAGGCTACTTGGAAAATGAAGTAGAAGACTCGAAACGCCCTGGAAGACAGCTATACGGGAAATATATCGTCAGCAGCAATCACGTTCTGTCCATGTGCACTCTATCTGAAGACTGGCTACAGCGGCAACATTCTATTCAATGTGTTTGAGTATAGTAAAAAGCAATCATTAATTATGTAGTGCCTTTCACAGACCAGAGTCACAAAGCGTGTTACAAATGTTGTGGGTGTTTGTCCTCAGTCCGCACAAAGATGGGAGCGAGAGGACGACTCCCTATGAGACGACTACATAAGAGCCATTGGTCCATAGGAAGGTAATACAGGTCCAAATGTTTTGTATTTGTCTCTGTGCTGATAGATTCACAGAACAATGAGTGCTCTTTCTTTTCAGGAATATTGACAGTAGATTCACATCCAGGCTGTGTAAGGGCAGTTTGACCAATAAGGAGAGTGATGGTGCTGGGACAGATGACCTCCACAGTCACCGGACCTGAACCAAATCCAGATGGTTTTGGGACTGGACCACAGAGTGAAGGGGCCAACAAGTGCTAAGCATCATGGGAACTCCTTCAAGACTGTTGAAGACCATTTCAGGTCCTCTTGAAGCTCATCAAGAGAATGCCAAGAGTGAAGCAGTGTCAGAGCAAAAGGTGCTACTTTGAAGAACCCAGAATTAATTCATAGTTTTGATGCCTTCAGTGTGAATCTACAATTTTCATAATCATGAAGATAAAAAAAACTCTGAGAAGGTGTGTCCAAACTTTTGGTCTATTTTTCCTTGTCGTTGCAGGACGGTCCAAGGACAGTGTTGAGGATCCAGGACCCTCGACAATCAACAGCATTTACAGACATTAGTCTCTGCTTCTTATGGACCAATGGCTCTATGTGTTTTTTATCAGTGCATTTCTTGTGTTTGAACTATTTTATAATGACCTGAACTATAAACAAATGACCTGAATTGAATTGAATGATATTTGTCTCTCGACACTTTTCACTTGTCAATCTGCTCCCTCTTCATCACAACAGTCCCTCACTCAAGAACCAGACCTGAGAGAGCTGAACCCTAACAGGGAATTTACACAGTAGGCGTAAACAGCGCGTACGTTTACTTAAATTTTTTTTTGGAGTATCTACACAGGCCGTGTGCGCAGGTCCGCGTCTTCTGATACTCTCCCTGTGTAGTCTATGGAGCAGTGTAGAGGACAGTACGGGCCAGAGGACTGATGTAGAACAACACAAATCACATGCATGTGTTTGTCTTCATGGTCTCTGTGCTGGTTTGGCCAGACGCCAGACTTTATGAAAGAAAAAAAACGATGTCCAGAATCACTGTAAAACCTGCTGCTCCTCCTGCTGATGTTTAGATACAAGTGCAGAGTGTGTGTAGATGCGATCTAGAGCCAAGCACCGCTAGAAAAATCATGTTTTACATGAGATCTCAATAGGAGACGCGTTGGTGCGCGCACAAAATTAGAAATCCATCCTAAATTAGAGCGCAGCTTCGCGTCATACGTCCGTCATACACACGTATAACGCTAGAAGTGTAAATATCATCATAGGTTAACATGGATAAAAGTTACGCGCGTCTGCTGCGCGTATAACGCGTACGTGCTGTAACACCTCATGTGTAAATTAGCAGTGACAACTCTGACGCTGGAGAGGGTCAAGTTCCACGGCCTCGGATTTGGAGGTGATGATGTTCACCACAACCACTTAAAATGCTAAAAAAAACTGCTGCCAAAAATTACTACTATTTAAAAAAATGTGTAAAAAAAATGTTCTACTTCTAACATACAAGAGACAAAGGTAACATTGTGGAAATTGTAACTGTAAGAACTGCTGAAGGAGTTGATCAAAAATTAAATAAAATACTACGTCGATAAAAAACAGTACTTTGACTAGATAGACTATTTTTTCTCCATGTACTTTCATATTCAGTCCTGGTATACAGTATAGCTCTTTCCCATTTCATCAGACAAGCACTCAAAGTTAGTAAACAGTAGATTTAAGATTAATTTCAGCAAAATCGTCTGCCCTCTGCTTTGGAACCAGCTTTTTGCCGCCGTCAAAGCGGGTTTTAAAATACATTCTGAGGTCAAATCAGTGCAGCAGCTGTTCGCCCTGAAACCACGAAAAACCATTTGCCGTTCTATTAATTACCAGGAAAGCAATCTAAAATCACAAGACGATTTATTGCTTTTGCCCCACATGTGATTTTAGATCGAGATATGGTCAAAGCTCATACAAAAAGCAGCAGCACAGAGCAAACAATGCGATATTAAGGTTTTGGGGAGGCGATAGCTGCGTTTCCATTTCCACCCTATCAATACTGGAGGACAGTGGACATGAGGAGCATACAGACGGACGCACACACAAAAAGTCAATTTGTTCAGAGGGGGACACAAAAGGGGCCAGTTGCTGAGCAGAGAGAGGCCCCTGTACTTGAATGGGTGATGCATGTGTGTTTGGCTGCAGTGTCCCGTGGAGCGGCTGGCTGGCCATTGTTTATCTGCTCTTCCAGCTTCAAGAGGGGAACTAATTAAGCCATGTCTGCAGGTGGGCCGGGACTGGTCTGGGGCTGGTGACTGGTGAGAGGAGAGGGGGGGGGGGGAGGTGAGGAGGTGGACTGAGACTGGGACTATTCATTTCAATACAGTGGTCCCTCTAGTCTGTACTATATCATGGTTCATCTTTCATGGTCTAGCTGTATTGTCCTATTTTTTGTAATTTTTCTTTTATTAGTTTTTTTGCAGTCATACAGTAATCAATAAGCATTCCACAGACAGTAAAGCCATAGTTATTTGAAAAAGAAAGTAAGAAAATAAATAATATATTTTGGGGGGAGGGTGTTTGTTCCAGAGCTGGGGAGCAGAGCAGCTGAAGGGTCTACTCCCCACGGTGACAGCTAGCTATGTTCACCTGGGCTTGATCTCTTCTTTGATCATTTTTAACTCCCTCTTCTCTTCCTCACTTTTTTTGTTTTTTTTTGCTGTGTCTGCAGTTACAGCAAGAGCAGGTGTATAGGCACTTTCTGCCTCCATTCTGCTCTTGTTTAGCAGCGCTGTAGAGGCTAGAGGACGCAGCCTCGTTCTGTGATTGGAGGAGTTTCTACTCAGCACTTTAATACGGCCTGAATTCATAAACAGCTGAATCAATGAGCTAAAGTTTTCAATTAAATTACGGATTATAATACAACTTGTATGTAGTAATAAGCATTTTTATGAACTTGTTAAAAAAAATTGGTTATAGCTTCTTTAAAATGATCTATAACAGAGCTAAAGCTGGCTGAATGATGAATGTTTGCTCATCTCACCAGCTCACAAGTCAACAACTGAATTCCAGACTCTCGGGCTTTGGTTATGACAGGTATATATTGGCTGATCTGAAGTTGGATGGATGACACAGTGAACTTGTGTATATGATCATACAGACTACTTTGGGTTAGCAAGGCAGAGGGCCACAAGAAATGACACTGAGGGCCGCAAATGGCACTTGGGCCTGAGTTTGGACATCTCTAACTGTGAATCTGTAAACATGGATTCTCAGGTGAAGGAGCTTCCTCTGTTTGGATCTGTTTTGAAGGGACACTTTCCTCGAGGGGCAGCGGATCTGGGCGCTTTAGACTGGATTTATTTGCGGTTTGTTATGATTTTATTCAGTAAATCCTGGAGCACACAGCGCCACAGTCTGCAGGAGGTCCGCTGAGAGCCCTGGACCAAAACACAACACAATCACTGACGTAAATCAGGCAGAAGTGTGTTTGTGTTGTGTGTGGACGAGATGATTGCGTGCGGACGCTACAGGCACGACTTCCTCTGCAGCCGGCGCTACACTCCTCAGACACACACTCTTCAGACACACACTCCTCAGACACACACTCTTCAGACACACACTCCTCAGACACACACTCTTCAGACACACACTCCTCAGACACACACTCTTCAGACACACACTCCTCAGACACACACTCTTCAGACACACACTCCTGAGACACATGCTCCTGAGACACACACTCTTCAGACACACACTCCTCAGACACACACTCTTCAGACACACACTCCTCAGACACACACTCTTCAGACACACACTCCTGAGACACACACTCCTGAGACACACACTCCTCAGACACACACCGTGATATTAAGTTAATGTGTTTGCATCTGATCTGCATGAATGTGTTGGCCGACATATTGCAAACTCTGAGTCTGTGTGTGTATGTGTGTGTGTGTGTGTGTGTGTGTGTATATGTGTGTGTGTGTGTGTGTATATATGTGTGTGTGTGTGTGTGTGTGTGTGTGTGTGTGTGTGTGTGTGTGTGTGTGTGTGTGTGTGTGTGTGTGTGTGTGTGTGTGTGTGTGTGTGTGTGTGTGTGTGTGTGTGTGTGTGTGTGTGTGTGTGTGTGTGTGTGTGTGTGTGAATACAGTGGTCTGTTACTGACAGTTTTGGACAAGTTACATCAAAAACGTAACACATTATTGCTGTATCTGTATTATTTGTTCCTGTTATTTAAAATTAAAGTGTTAAACTACAATATTACTATCGCTGAAAAGTATCACACTACTACTGTATTACTCTTAAGTTACTTCCACAAGTTACTTCTTAAGTTACTTCCACATTTGGTTTGTATGCAGTATATATATCAAAATAATATACAAACTAAATGTAGCTTATGATGCTATCGCGTGAGGTTGAAAGAGCCTTTGGTTTGAACTTAAAGTACATATAACTCTTATGTTTTGCACATTTTTGTCTCCAACAAACTGTAAATAATGGAGAACTATTGTCCGACTTAGTGCCTGCTTCAGCTTCAGCTCCAGCCTCAGCTTGAGTCGTCTTCTACCAGAAAGGAAAAACATTCCTAGGCAGCTACTATCTTCTGATCTCGCGGTGGCATTTGTTGAAAAGCCTTCCATGTCAGCGTTACAGTAAAAACAATATGTTACAGTAATTACATGACTTTAGTAACGTGTGGTTCTCAACACTGGTCACTGTAACACGGTTCACCTTCAGCCGCTGTTATGTGGATGTGTGTGTGCGATTGTGCGTCCTTTGATTACTGCGTGCGTCTCATGCGCAGTGTGTTTACTGCAATGATATCTTACAACTGGAGGATTACTTCGGTTCTTGTTTTCAAAGTCAATTCTTTTAAATGAATGTTTCGTGATTGTCTATGTATTTTAATTGGAAGTGAGTATGAATTGCGCTAAACAGATAACCTTGTCTTACATACGTGGACTGTTTTATGGGCATTGAATGTAAAGCTAGCTCACATCATATTGACTTAATTTCTTGAAAAAGGTTGAAAAGTCCTGCTCTAAATTAATTCGTGAAACCATACACACATGTCACATTCCTGCTGAAAGCTTCTGATCTCACGAGTTGTAGACAATGAGTTTGTTTGAGTTCAGTCCACGTCAGTCCAGTTGTGTTTGAGAAACATATATGCGTGTGTGTGTGTGTGTGTGTGTGTCTGAAGCTGTGGGTGGAATATAGTGAGGCCTGAGAGGAAACCAAATGACGATGCTGTCCTTGATGGTGCCGTGACACCAGCAGCAAAACAAAGCAGCTGTTATGGGAGTGGCGCGGACTGCACCCTCTGACGTGTGCCCAGCTAACACACCCACACACACACACATACACACACACACACACACACACACACATGGACACACAGAGATTACTGAGACTCTCATTTCTCCCACTCGTGACGCACCGAAATCCCAACTTCAAATATTGCTGCAAATCCTTGAGCTCAATATGCGACGGAGAGAACTACACTTACAATTGTTTCTCTAGAATTCAAAAACAGCGCCGTGTTCAGAAAGAAATACATTGAAACGGTGAACTCAAGTGGCCTGTTCCGAGAAAGACACTCAAGTCGACTCAATACAGAAAGTCAATATTTATCACAAACAGGTTGATTCCAAATAATAAGCACTATGAGGGTTTCTCCATTGGATCAACTGCTATTTTCTCTTGTTCAGCACAATGAGGTAGTTATGGCCAGAGAGACCAGAGAGAGACCAGAGAGAGACCAGACAGAGACCAGAGAGAGACCAGACAGAGACCAGACAGACACCCGAGGGAGACCAGAGAGAGACCAGAGAGAGACAAGAGAGAGACCAGAGAGAGACAAGAGAGAGACCAGAGAGAGACAAGAGAGAGACAAGAGCGGGACCAGAGAGAGACCAGACAGAGACCAGAGAGAGACCAGACAGAGACCAGAGAGAGACCAGACAGAGACCAGACAGACACCCGAGGGAGACCAGAGAGAGACCAGAGAGAGACAAGAGAGAGACCAGAGAGAGACAAGAGAGAGACCAGAGAGAGACAAGAGAGAGACCATGGAGAGGCCAGAGAGAGACCAGAGAGAGACCAGAGAGAGACCAGAGAGAGACCAGGGAGAGACCAGAGAGAGACCAGAGAGAGACCAGAGAGAGACCAGAGAGAGACCAGAGAGAGACCAGAGAGAGACCAGGGAGAGACCAGGGAGAGACCAGAGAGAGACCAGAGAGAGAACAGAGAGAGACCAGAGAGAGACCAGAGAGAGACCAGAGAGAGACCAGAGAGAGACAAAAAAGAGACAAAGAGAGAGACAATGTTGTATATAATAAAACAAGCACATTTGCACACTCTGAGAAACAGCGAGGCCTCGAAAGGTGAAAACCGGAGCACTCAGAGGAAACCTACACGTACAGAAAAAGCAAACAAACTCCACTCAGGAGTTAAACCCGGGACCTTCTGGCTCTTACTTACTCTTAACAACTAACTTGACCTTAACAAGTCGTCAATTCCTCCCAAATCACGACAATCAGATCCCAAATTCAAAATACACTTTATGAACACAACCTTTTTTTCAGATGGAACTTGAACTAAGAGCAGCCGCCTTCAAAAACACATTGACAAATCACATTAAAACACCAGCAAGCCATTAGTATTACTGGTAATTGTTGTACGTGGGAGACTTTAACAAGACGGACAACCTTTGGAGAGGGATTTGTTGACATTTCCCACCGAACCACGAGAATAATCCTCTTTCATAACTCTAAAAAAAACCTCTGGAGGGGCTTTGAGAGTGCACTCACAAAAGCCGCTGGCGAAGTATGACAAGTGGAGGAATCACCATTATGCACAGCTGAGCAGGGGTGGCAGCGGGGTGATGGACGAGGGGCGGGACTTACTGCTTGTTGTCCGTGACGACGGGCGCCATGTCCTCGCTCATGCAGTCCAGCTCGTCCGTGATGCTGTTGGCTCGGGAGATATCGATGGACATGCTGCTGTCCAGGTTCTTCTTCACTGTGAAACCAGGAGGCGATCAATGTGTAAGAGTTTGTTCATCTACGAAGGAGGTTCTCGTGCAAGAGACAAGAGAGAGCAGAGAGCGAGACCAGAGAGAGAGAGAGAGACCAAAGAGAGAGAGCAGAGAGAGACTAGATAGAGAGACAAGAGAGAGACAAGAGAGAGACCAGAGAGAGGCCAGAGAGAGACCAGAGAGAAACCAGAGCGAGAGACCAGAGAGAGAGCAGAGAGAGACTAGATAGAGAGAGCAGAGAGAGAGAGAGAGACCAGAGAGAGAGAGCAGAGAGACTAGATAGAGAGAGCAGAGAGAGAGAGAGAAAGAGAGAGAGAGAGCAGAGAGAGAGAGAGAGACCAGAGAGAGAGACCAGAGAGAGACTAGATAGAGAGACCAGAGAGAGACCAGAGAGAGACCAGAGAGAAACCAGAGCGAGAGACCAGAGAGAGACCTTCCCCTTACTTAGACAGAACCCTCCTCTATATGATCTAAGATGGTCAGCTTCACGTACAAGAGAAAGTGAAAGTGAAAGTACCTGGAGATGAGGGGCAGCTCAGAGTGTAAGACGACCAAGAGTGGAGCGGAGGCCCTGAAGTCGTGCAAACACATGGAAAGAAGAAGAAAAAAAACAAGAAACTTAAAATATCAAGAGTGAATGAGCTGGATACTAGTCATGGATGTGTTATGATATCAGGATAATATCATGCATTCATAATATCGCTCGTTTGTCCTCGTTCTACAGCCTGAGTCCTGGATCTACACAGCATGTCAGGAGGGTCTAAGGTCGGCGTGTCCAAACCAAGGCCCGCGGGCTAAATGCGGCCCACTGTTTAGTCCCATGTGGCCCTCTGCCTTGCTAACACACACTATCCATTCTACGTGTTTTGTAAAGCGTCTTTGAGTGTCCAAAAAAGCGCTATATAAGTTTGATGCATTATTATTATTATTGAGGCACTTTCACAGAGTCATCCAGCCAACTTCAGCTCCACCTATATAGTCATGCTGCATCTTGTCGTAACGCTTCGAACCGTTGGAATTTAGCCATTCACTTTATTTGTACAGTCATTTCTTTTCAATTGTGTCCCAAAATGGCACCAGTGCAGTTGCGGTGTTGACTATGAGCATTCCCAATTTTAAAACCCAAGAAAATCCTGAAAAGCATTTTAAGAATGTTGTCGGCCCCTGGACAAGTCTGGTGAACTAAAGTGGCCCTCTTACTGAAAAGTTTGGACACCCCTGGTCTGAGGACAGTGGAGATGATCCAGGATCGGTCATCTACCTCTTATGGCTCTATGTGTTTTTTTTAATCATTTCATTTCCAGTGTTTGAAAGGTTTGATTCTCTGATCTGCGTTGGCGAATCGACAGTTTTGTGACGTTGTCTGAGATAACGACTGATGTGATTTAGGGCGACACAAAAATGAATTGAGTTGACCTGAATTTTAATTGGATATGTTACTATTGTGTTACTTATTGACTGCAAGCCGTTTTTGATGATTTCACTGATTCTCAAGACCCACAGAATATTATTTTCTCTGACTATGTGAAATGTGAAACCAGATTCTGAAAGACTGGATTGTCTACTTTCATCAGCAAAAATAAGTTTGTTTCTAGCTATTTTTGTTGTCCTGTTATCCCCAGTCGAATAGAGGGTCTCAGACAAATACGTAAATGGCAGTCAATGCGTTAAAGGTATTAAGGAGGATTTTCCCACATTTTAGGAAAGAACCGCCCTCTCCACTTTTTGAACCAAAATCTCTGGTTTTTTTATGATAATCATTTGACATTTGGAAGGACCAATAACCTTGATGATCCACCTCCTGAATACCTTTAAATCAGGGGTCTCCAACCAGTAGCTCTTGAGCCACCAGTAGCTCGCCAGCCCCTTACAGGTAGCTCGCCACAGGAATTAGAATTCAACAAATACGCTTCAACGAATAAATAGAGGGTTAAACAGTATTATGGTGTATTTTATATGTGTTTTCTTAATTTGGTCGTAATTATTAGATCGGCTTTCATAAAGACGGCAAAAAGGAGTAGCTCTCTGCCTGTTTGTTTGTATAAAAGTAGCTTTCCAATTGAAGAAGTTTGGAGACCCCTGCTTTAAATTCACATGGGAGAGATGTCCCCATTGACCTCAATGTTAACTCACTGACAAGGAACCTACGGCTTTCACAGAGGTCAGATTCTGTTGGGATTTTAGGATCCAAACATACAGTACAGTACATACAGACTTACAGAAATGGCTACGCTAACGTCACATGCACCACAGATAAGGTCTTTTTCTTCACATTTTAATTTACAGGTCCAAAGCTGCTGACCAGGAAGGCAAACCAAAACACAAGCAGCCTCAATAAACAGTAAGGCAAGGCAAGTTTATTTGTATAGCACAATTCATACACAAGGCAATTCAAAGTGCTGAACAGAACAAGAAAGCATTAAAATCATAAATAATCACGGTACATTAAAAAAAAAAAAAAAAAAAAAAAAAAGATACAAATATAAAATCCCTCAGTTGTATGCACGGCTAAACAGAACTGTTTTCAACCTTGTCTTAAACATTGTCAGAGAGGAGGCCTGTCTCACATCTTCAGGAAGACTGTTTCAGATTTTAGCAGCATGAATCTGAAAAGCAGCCTCCCCATGTTTAGTTCTGACTCTGGACACTAACAGGAGTCCAGTCCCTGTGCTCCTCAGAGTCCGGGCTGGTTCATATGGGACTAACATGTCACTAATATAGTTTGGTGCGAGGCCATGGAGAGATTTGTACACAAGCAAAGCTGTTTTAAAGTCTATTCTCTGAGCCACAGGAAGCCAGTGCAGGGACCTGAGGACCGGACTAATGTGGTCGTACTTCCTGGTTCTAGTCAGGACTCGAGCTGCTGCATTTTGAATGTACTGCAGCTGTTTTACAGCCTGTTTGGACAGACCTGTGAGCAGGCCATTGCAGTAGTCTAACCTACTGGAGACAAATGCATGGATAAGAATCTCCAGGTCTGCTTTAGACACTATGTTTTTGATCCTGGCAATGTTTTTTAGATGGTAAAAAGCTGCTGATGTTACTGATTTGATGTGGCTATTAAAATTTAAGTCTGAGTCCAGTATTACCCCTAGATTTCTGACCTTGTTTGAAGGTTTTAGGGAGAGAGACTGTAGGTGACAGATGACGCTCTCTCTTTGTTTCTGGGGACCAAAGACAATCATTTCAGTTTTGTCTGCGTTTAGCTGAAGGAAGTTGTTTTGCATCCACTCACTGATCTGTTGGATACAGTGAAGGAGTGAGTCCACTGGTCCATGTTCTCCTGCAGTCAGTGAGACATAGATCTGAGTGTCGTCTGCATAGTTGTGATAGGACACTTTGTTTCTGCGTATTAACTGACCTAACGGCAGCATGTAGAGATTGAACAGAAGAGGTCCCAGGATCGACCCCTGTGGTACTCCACAGGTCAGGGCCATATGATCTGAGACACAGTCTCCAATCTCCACAAAGTAGACCTAAACCAACTTAGGGCGGTGCCAGCGACTCCAACCCAGTCCTCTAGTCTCTGTAAGAGGATCTCATGGTCGACAGTGTCAAAGGCAGCACTCAGATCTAACAAGATTAAGATTGAGACTTTGCCTGCGTCAGTGTTCAGCCGGATATCGTTTGTAACCTTGACAAGAGCAGTCTCAGTGCTGTGGTGGGGTCTAAAGCCGGACTGAAACATATCAAATGAGTTGTTAATTATAAGAAATCTAGTAAGCTGTAGGTAGACAACTTTTTCAAGGACTTTCCCCATAAATGGCAGATTTGAGATGGGACGATAGTTGTTAAGTACCGTAGCATCCAGGCTGCTCTTTTTTAGCAGGGGCCTGATGACTGCAGTTTTCAGGGCCTTTGGGAATATTCCAGAATGAAGGGACATGTTTACTATCTGTGTGAGTGAAGGTAACAGACTGCTCAGAACAGACTTCAGAAATCTAGTGGGTAGTACATCCAGGCTGCATCTGGAGGAGCTCAAACTGGAGATTATTTCTTGGACATTTTTATCATCTACAGGTGCAAAGTAAGTTAGCTCAGAGAGCCTTTCTGGCTGTTGGATGGTTATCTGTGGATTGGAGACAATGGCGTTTTTGATGCCTTGAACCTTGTCATTGAAAAAGTGTGCAAACTCATTGCATTTACGTTTGGAAGTTAGCTCTAATGGCATCTGAACAGGGGGGTTTGTTAATCTATTAACTGTTGAAAACAGAACACGCAGATTGTTGCTGCAGCCTTCAATCATTTCAGAAAAATACCTTTCTCTCGTACTACGTAGCACCCGGTTAAACTCGCACAACTTATCTTTGAAGATCTTGTAATCAACCTGGAGGTTGGACTTGCGCCACTTCCGCTCGGCCCTCCGGCACTTTCTCTTTTGTGCCCTGACCGAGTCTGCTTTAGCCCACGGCGCCTTCTGCTTATTTTTCACTATTTTAACCTTCACAGGGGCAACGGTATCCAGAACATTCAAAACACTAGAGGTGACAGAGTTAAACAGTTCATCTACAGTAGAATACGATGCATTTTCAAAGTTTATCATTCCCATAAATAGTTCACTCGTATTTTCATTTATGTGTCTTCTTCGAACAGTTGCAGAGTCCACTGGTGGTTTGTTAGTGAAACACATGTCAAAAAATACACAGAAATGATCCGAAAGAGCAACATCGACCACGCTTATATTTGAAATATTCACCCCCTTTGTAACTAACAGGTCTAGAGTGTGCCCTCTGGTTCACTCTCCCATAAAGACTGAGCTGAACTTGTGTAATCGCTGCTTCCTTGTTAGAAACAGCCATCACACACATATTTACAAACTTACGACAATGTACGATAAGGGAAATGTAGATTTTCTAGAGAGTGGTCTGCCCGATCTTTATCCCCAAATGGTTAAAAAGAGAGGTTTTCAGCTTTTAATGTGTGCATTTATATTTCTGTGTTTTTGTGTTTTTATTGTGCTGTTTTTTTGCTGCCTGTACAGAACTTTGGTAAGCCCAGGCTGTTTGAAACGTCCTCTACAGATAAAGATTTGATTGATTGAATGATAATACTTTAGTGTGTGACATCACAGGCACAACAATAATTCAAGTTACATGCACCTCAAAGCAAACAGCGGTAAGAAAGATAGGTGTGGATCATAGACTGTATACAGATGGACAATGCTAACACGCTAGCTGGATGAAGCCCAACAGGGAAGTGCTCATGGTGAAGTTTTGCTCCATCTCGCTCTGGCTCCTATTGACTTACATTGAAAAAGTAACTCCTCTACTAGCACAGAAAAAGGGCTCCCTATGATCCTGGAGTTGTTACTTTGACGGTTAATCCAGATATGAACCATATTCTCAGAGGAAACTCTAGCTTGCCTTAGCAACCGTCTTAGCAACACGACTGCCCCTGTTACTGAGCAAAGCATCAGAACAAATGCCCATATAAGGAAATTGGCTCCAGCTATCTTATGTTCAAATCAGCCTCTTCTGCATTAAGGGTAACACGATGGTGATGTCACACTCGGTCCACTTCTACACTGCAAAAAGTGATACAAAATCAGTCAAAAATTGCTAACATTTGGCAACACTTAAAAAAAAATCACATTCTGACTGAACCTTAAAACAAGATTTTCCGATGGGACAAAACAAAATGTCTCCCTTGGAAAGAAAAAATGAAGCAAAAGTTCTTGAAATAAGACAACATTTCTTTGTCCTATTGGATAATCTTTTCTTAACACAGTCAGAATGAACCCAAATTAAGAACAAATATTAATATAAAACTTGGTTTGAGCATTTATTATATTCTATCACTTTTTGCAGTGTAGTGTAGGCTCTATGGGGTGGATTTGTTCAGACAGACAGATACATGAAGATAATCTCTCCATTGATTAAACCACACAAAAAGCAGTTTATTTCTGACCAGTCAAGCTGCACAATAAACGGTTATCAAGCTCCACATCCCCCCCATCCTCCCCCATCCTCCCCCCTGTCCTCCCCCCTGTCCTCCCTCCTCTCTCTGTTCTGTTCTGTCCTGTCCCAGCCTGTGCACCCGCGTGGTCCGCTGCCAGCCCCGGTTCTGGACCCTTGGCAGAAGAACCAGCACCAGGGTCCCAGTCTGGCTCTGGTTTGGTCCGGTCCAGGACAAAACCCCAGTCACACGGTCTCATTGAAATACTGTTTGGAGCACATTAAAAGCCTGGTTAGCTAATGATTAACTTGATGCGCGCTGAAAAGAGGGTGAGAGGTTTTGTTTTAATGAGAGCACTCTAGATTGTTGCTGAAATAGTTACTAAAACACCATAGCACCATGTCGCGAATGATGATAATATCGATGCCTCACCTGTTTGTCGGAATATTCGGGTTAATCCTGCAAATGTAGAAAAATACAGTTAAAATCCAACAAAAATTCAACTTTGGCTTTTGTATTTGCAATGGAATGGTTTAAAGGTCTAAAGGAGGATTTCCCCAGATTTTAGGAAAGAACCGCCCTTTCTACTTTTGGAACTAAACTCTCTGGTCTTGTTTGACGAGCACGTATGACCAGAATGATTGACAACTAACAGGACCAATAGCCTTGAGGATCCACCCGGAAGTAGACGATCCTCCTTTAACATCTTTAAGAAAATGTATGCCATGAAATATAACCAATGTCTTGTTCAAAACCTCTTTTTTTACAAAACGTATCTTTATGATCGCACACATGGACCGGAAAACTTCATTAACCTTACAACATGGACCTAAAGTCTGGGTCAGTTTATTTGACCCGATCGGCTTTTCAAAAACAGGAAGCTGAGTCGTGTTTTAGGCGAGGTGCTTCTCAGAGTAACGAGTCCGAAGAACCTGGACTGGAGTCTCTTTATGTATTTGAGAGGCCAAAACAAATAAACCTTTTCGTATTTGTAGTTTTAAAAGCTCAAAGTATTTTTCATTTAAGCTGGAGGGTAATGCTGGACATGTGAAGCAACACAGGGCTAGTAACCATGACCTGTAATTGTAGCTCACACGATAACGGCTGCAGCTGCATTTTGGGAGACTCATGGCAGCCATCTTGGATTATGGAAGACCCCCTTTGTACAAATAGATGTTTTTACCAAATCCTTTTGATTAGTAGAAGTATTTTAGCTGTGTTTCTTTCAGAGTTAACCGGTGCCAAGCAGGAGACTTTCAATCTTATTCAAATAAATGTAAGATATTTCTAAGCAATACCAAAGAGATACGATTTTGTTGAGTGAAAAAATACAAGGGTTACGGTCTGCCCACTCAGATCAATGACCTGTACCCATTACCATACCTGCATATGCCTGTCAAACCTCTGCTGCAGGTTAATACTGTGATGGGAGACCTCTGGGAACACCCCTCTTCTGTCAGTATGCCCCTGGGCAGCTGTGGCTAGAGTAGTAGTTTATCATCACTGTGTTTGAGGTGAAAGAATAATGGCATGCGAAGCAACTTTGAGAGTCAATAAAAGTGTTAGCCAGTTGGATTATTGGCACATGCTTGAACATTAACAGAAGTGGCACGTTCTGGATAGCTCTGGTTCTCCTGGTCTTGTGTGGTAGGAGTGGAGTGGTTCTACTGCACGACCAGAGTAACATGTGAGCGTTTTGACCAATCAGAGTGGAGCTAGATAAGGCACGAGAGCGAGCAGTTTGTTGCTCTAAAGTGTGGATTTATTGAAAACTGATGGAAGACACTGAAATCCTCTCAAACCCAGACCTTTGTGAAAGCTGTAGGTTCTCTGTCATTTTAGTTTTAACACTGAGGTCTTTGTTAAACTGCAGTACTACAACTGGCCTCTAGTCTACGTGGAGACAGGTTTTACCAGCAACACCCTCCAGATAGTATCATACATCCATGATATTTATACATATGAAGTTAAAACATTGTACATTCTGTAACTATAACTTCAAAAACGTGAATAAAGTAGCGACTTATGGTCAAGCAAATACTATACGAATCTAAAGCCCTGTTTCCACCAACCCTACTTGGCACTACTGTACTTGGCTCTACTCTACTGCAATTGGGCATATTTCCATCATTGGCCAAAGAGCTGCTGGAAGGTTCATGGTTCTTAAGTAATTTCCTCTGAGACTGGTTTGACATGGGTATAGGTTGCTAGGATACAGAACCAGATACTATAGCGTAATGGAAACGCAACCAGGTAGAGTAGAGATGGGCCGAGTGAGGCTAGTGCAAACAGGGCTAAAGTCTGAGGTCAGGATGCGGATGCTACCTTCCACCGGTCCTCGAGGCTCTTTATCCTCCAGGAAATATGACCCGTCTTTCTTCTCCATGGAGTCGTCGATGTGGTCGTACGTGATCTGAGGGATGGAGACCGCTCTGTCCGACTGGGCTCCCATCGAGCCGTTACCGCGAGGCTTGAACCTTCTTTTGGTGCCTCTTTTCTAGAGGAAAAATGCAAAAAAAATCAACACATTTGTATTTGTTCAAACATGGCTATAACACAGAGTCTAGCAGAAAATCAAAATCACATGACAAGAGAGTATTAAAGAGACATACACAAGAAATATACTGAAAAAAGTGACTTGATTTGAGAACATTTTGACCAACAACATTTGCCAAAGCCATAAGCAAAAATGACTTGTTTTGAGTGGGCGACAGTAGCTCAGTTGGTAGAGCAGTGGCCTTTGAGCCTGGAGGTCGTGAGTTCGATTCCCACCATGGGACCTACACCAACTGCTCCCACTGATGTCTACTGTCGTTGTGTCCTTGGGCAAGACACTTAACCCCACGTTGCCTGAAGCCCCCGCTGAAAGACCAAGGCTGATTCACCGCTGACGGAGTAGCCATCTTCCTGTGGACTCACCCCCTGCAGAGGATCAGTGAGGGACTGGTGCTATGAGCGTTGGGTGGCAGCTCTCATTGCCACCCCCCTGACCCAGAAATGGACTAATAAAGGGCTTGAAAATGAATGAATGAATGAATGAATGAACTCATGTGAACTCCCCTGGAAGTTCAATAAATAATAACTGGCAATTGAAAAAAATCGATGTTAGCCTACTCCATCTGTATACAGTCTATGTTAGCATTGTCCATCTGTATACAGTATGAATATACATGCTAGTAATACAACCAAACTGCTTCTTCCATTGGCAAATCTTGTTTTAAGACAGTCAAAATGTGCTCTAGTCAAGATAGAAACCGGTTGATTCCAGAGCGTACTACTTTATATTACATCATTTTGCAGGAACAAAACAAAACAGAAACTTTAAGACCAGCCTGGATGTTTTGAGGTCGGAGCTCTGTGCGTGTAGCGAGGTCCTGTATCTAAATGGTGATTAAAATGGTGCCAGTTCCCACACTAATTACACCACTGCTGGGACCACGGGCTTTATATAAAATTATTGGATCAAATTTGAAGCTTTATATTGTGCCAGCAATTAATTACAAAACAGAGACAGTTGGAGAGCTCATTACGGTCGTGGGAATACGTACAACTGTGAGCTCACATCTCCACAATAACCACAATAACCACAATAACCACCATGATGTTAAAGAGACAAGAGAAAAGAGAACGTTTAAGAAGTGCAGACCACATTATTCCCTAATACTCTACTCTACTGTCCTACTCTCCTCAACTCTCATCTCGTTGGCTCTACTTTACTCTACTCTACTCTCATTGGCTCTACTCTACTCTACTCTACTCTCATTGGCTCTACTCAACTCTACTCTACTCTCATCTTGTTGGCTCTACTCTACTCTACTGTACTCTACTCTAGTTGGCTCCACTCTACTCTCATCTCGTTGGCTCTACTCTACTCTACTCTTGTTGGCTCTACTCTACTCTAGTTGGCTCTACTCTACTGTACTCTACTCTAGTTGGCTCCACTCTACTCTCATCTCGTTGGCTCTACTCTACTCTACTCTTGTTGGCTCTACTCTACTCTAGTTGGCTCTACTCTACTGTACTCTACTGCATGTTGGATAAAGGAGGAGTGGTTGGAGCCATTTTTTTGGATCTAAAAAAAGCATTTGACACAGTAAACCATAGCATCGTTTTATCAAAACTATCACAACATAATATTTCAGAAAGTGCACTGCAATGGTTTATACCAGGGGTGTCAAACTCATTTTGGTCCGGGGGCCACATACAACCTAATCTGATCTCAAGTGGGCCGGACCAGGAGATGCTCTACAAAAATATCCAAAAACGGTACAAAGTCCAACTTTTTGTGCACATAAACACATTTATTTAAAACTTCCTTTAAAACACTATCCTTTAATACTCAGTTTTCTGTTACAAACTTAAATGTAACAGTGAGTTTTCCATAGTGCAAATAATGTAGCGTATTTACAATATTACATTGAAAATGGTATTTCACAATATGTATATTAATATTTGTGTGTTAGCTTTGTTTTTAAGGCTCATTACAGAGAAAACCTGCTCACAAAGGTAAAGTAGGTAGATAGAAAAAAGCACTTAAACACAGCACCTCAGCTTAACCATCTTCAGTGTGGTAAGGTCCATGGTTATGTTATTATCACATTAACCATCTTCAGTGTGTAAGGTCCATGGTTATGTTATTATCACATTAACCATCTTCAGTGTGGTAAGGTCCATGGTTATGTTATTATCACATTAACCATCTTCAGTGTGGTAAAGTCCATGGTTATGTTATTATCACATTAACCATCTTCAGTGTGTAAGGTCCATGGTTATGTTATTATCACATTAACCATCTTCAGTGTGTAAGGTCCATGGTTATGTTATTATCACATTAACCATCTTCAGTGTGTAAGGTCCATGGTTATGTTATTATCACATTAACCATCTTCAGTGTGTAAGGTCCATGGTTATGTTATTATCACATTAACCATCTTCAGTGTGGTAAGGTCCATGGTTATGTTATTATCACATTAACCATCTTCAGTGTGTACGGTCCATGGTTATGTTATTATCACATTAACCATCTTCAGTGTGGTAAGGTCCATGGTTATGTTATTATCACATTAACCATCTTCAGTGTGTAAGGTCCATGGTTATGTTATTATCACATTAACCATCTTCAGTGTGTAAGGTCCATGGTTATGTTATTATCACATTAACCATCTTCAGTGTGTAAGGTCCATGGTTATGTTATTATCACAGAGAAAGCATCAAACTGACCATGATTCAGTTGAAATGAATAAAACAACTTCCATAACCAAAGCAAAGGAAGGTTTCTCACCCATCATCTGTACTTCTTAGCAAGTTTTACTTCCATAACGTGATTCATTCTTAACGACAGCAGCAGTGTCTCTGTGTAAAATACAGTCAAATGTCCAAAAATCATCACCTCCATTTGCAGCTTTGTCACTACACCTGTTTTTACCATCGGTACCAGTCCACACTGTCCAACACACCAGCAACAACAGCAGAACCAGCAGCAGCACCAGCAGCAGAACCAGCAGCAGTACCAGCAGCAGTACCAGCAGCAGTACCAGCAGCAGCGCTCAAAACTCCTCTGATAGTTTCAGTAACACCACAAATGAATATGTGACATCAGTAACATCAGTCTCTTATCAATGGCAACATGATGGTAAAAGCGAGTGGTTTCTCAGACCATGTCTGCAGCCTGTGAGAGTTTTAACAACTCTCTCTCACTGTGCGGCTGCGATGCTAATGCTAATGTTGTTAGCACAGGTAGCTTCCCTTTACAGCAGCAGAACTAACCTCTCGCTCTGGGCACAAACAGACTGCTGTGTCTTCAGGGCCAGACAGGTTTATCTTCTGTTTTCTCAATCCTTCGCTCAAAGTGCCGTATTTTTCGCCGAGTCTTGTAGTTTAAGATGTTATTCCTTCAGCACCGCTCTGGTGGAGCCACTACAGACGCACTGGACTCACCCCTGAGCGCGTCGCGGCGCCTCGCGGCGCGGAGCGGCTTTTTAAAATGTAACTTTATTATATTTTTACATAAATGAGCCACGGGCCGTGTCAAATCTCTTGGCGGGCCGGTTCCGGCCCGCGGGCCGTATGAATGACACCCCTGGTTTAAACACTGCACAAGAGTTAAAAGCACTTTGTCTCCTTTTTTAGACAGCTCGGTCGGGGTGCCTCAAGGTTCCATTTTAGGACCCCTCTTATTCAGTGTTTATCTAAATGACCTCCCAGTCCTATGCCCAGAGGTAAATATTCAGATGTACGCTGATGATGCTGTATTATATGTCCATAACAAAACCAGCCAAAAAGCTGCGTCTATTCTCCAATCTGCCATGGAGAAAATCTCAGATTGGATGGTAAAATCATGTCTGACACTAAATGTTAGAAAAACCGTCAGCATGTATTTTTCAGTAAGGAATACTCATCTCACTCCACCACAAATAATCATTAATGGAGACAAATTGTTAATTGTGGACTCGACTAAATATTTAGGAGTTGAGCTTGACAGGACACTGTCTTTTAAGATGCACATTTCCAAAATGATCAAACGTATAAAATTTAGTTTGTCTCAATTTAGGGGAATCCGTCACCAGATGAGTCCAGATGCGGCAAAGCTTTTTATGCATTCAATGATTTTTTCACAATTCACTTATTGTTGCACATCCTGGTCATTGGCTCCAGACTCAGCAAGGCAACCTCTTCTGAGTTTATACAAACAAGCTCTAAAGATTTTAGATAAAAAACCGAGGTCACATCATCATTGCAAAATTGTTGAGAAATATAAATTATTTACATTTGAGAGTGTTATCCAGTTTGCAAATATCTGTCTTATATATAAAATTTTCCAAAATTTGGCACCCCCACCACTAAATACATTTGTGAAAAGGTGTGAGGAGGTGAGAACCAGATCCACCAGAGCCACATCCAGGGGAGACTGTTATGTGAACTTTAGGTCCTCCTCATTTGGTCAGAACTGTTTCTCTGTCAAAGCAGCAGTGGCCTGGAACTCACTACCTCTGTCTGTGCGGGCCTGGAACTCACTACCTCTGTCTGTGCGCCTGGAACTCACTACCTCTGTCTGTGCGGGCCTGGAACTCACTACCTCTGTCTGTGCGGGCCTGGAACTCACTACCTCTGTCTGTGCGGGCCTGGAACTCACTACCTCTGTCTGTGCGGGCCTGGAACTCACTACCTCTGTCTGTGCGGGCCTGGAACTCACTACCTCTGTCTGTGCGGGCCTGGAACTCACTACCTCTGTCTGTGCGGGCCTGGAACTCACTACCTCTGTCTGTGCGGGCCTGGAACTCACTACCTCTGTCTGTGCGGGCCTGGAACTCACTACCTCTGTCTGTGCGGGCCTGGAACTCACTACCTCTGTCTGTGCGGGCCTGGAACTCACTACCTCTGTCTGTGCGGGCCTGGAACTCACTACCTCTGTCTGTGCGGGCCTGGAACTCACTACCTCTGTCTGTGCGGGCCTGGAACTCACTACCTCTGTCTGTGCGGGCCTGGAACTCACTACCTCTGTCTGTGCGGGCCTGGAACTCACTACCTCTGTCTGTACGGGAGAGTAGCTCACTAGGACAGTTTAAACTCAGCCTAAAAAACTGGCTCAAAGAGAATCAAGTCTGTAGTCATTAGTCAGATGTAAATAATTGTGTGATGTATATTTTGTTAGGCCATTCATTCTTTATATTTATCAATTCTTTGCACACTGTAAACCTGCTGTCACGTTGCCTCTGCCTCAGGGACTACGGATGAAAATTAGCTTGTAGCTATATCCGGTCTGAACAATACATTTATTGTGCAATGACCCTGTCAAATAAACAAATAAATAAAATAAAATACTCTCATTGGCTCTACTCTACTCTACTCTACTCTGATCTTGTTGGCTCTACTCTACTCTACTCTCATCTCGTTGGCTCTACTCTACTCTACTCTACTGTACTCTACTCTCATCTCGTTGGCTCTACTCTACTCTACTCTCATCTCGTTGGCTCTACTCTACTCTACTCTCATCTCGTTGGCTCTACTCTACTCTTCTCTCTCATCTCATTGGCTTTACTCTACTCTACTCTACTCTACTCTCATCTCGTTGGCTCTACTGTACTCTACTCTCATCTCGTTGGCTCTACTCTACTCTACTGTACTCTACTCTCATCTCGTTGGCTCTACTCTACTCTTCTCTCATCTCATTGGCTTTACTCTACTCTACTGTACTCTACTCTCATCTCGTTGGCTCTACTCTACTCTACTGTACTCTACTCTCATCTCGTTGGCTCTACTCTACTCTTCTCTCATCTCATTGGCTTTACTCTACTCTACTGTACTCTACTCTCATCTCGTTGGCTCTACTCTACTCTATTCTACTGGGCGCACTCTGGCTAATCTCTGTCAGTGACAACACTTCAGTTCCAGCTCGGCCTGTGCTATAAAGAACCTGGTAGCGGTTAAACACGTTGGGTCGGTGGAAACAGGACTTTTGATAATGATTCTTACCGTTAAGTAGAGTTTCCGGATGTTGGGGCTGGAGTCCGAGTCCACGGTGGTCTCTACCTGAGGGGTCAGGACGTACATTTTCCAGGTGGACGTCCCTCCACCAGGTTTCTCTATAGAATAACACCTCCACAGAGTCTGCCAGGGAACAGATTGCAGACCAAGCTGTAAGTACTTTTCCAGAGAGACACAGCTATTTAATTACAAACACCATCTAGAGAGAAAGACTTCCATGTGATGTACGCGTGGAAGGGGGCCGTGGCATTAATTTAGCTTAATTTGACATGAATTTATGGGGTTGATTTTCATGAGATCTTTAAGCAGGCACACTTCAGGATCAAGAGGTGGATATACTTTGGTCATTTGGGGAAAAACCTCAGAAGTCAGGCCAAAAATGTCCACTATTACATAAGAAAAGTGAAGTCTGGATCACATTAACAGCATTTCAATCTGAAGAGACCAAGGCAGACACATTAATGCATGAAAAAGATGTATCTGTTTGGCGCATTGATCCTGACAGTGACACTTGCAGAGGGGGATCATTTGCTGCTGAAGATAATCTCAGATCCACTGAGTCAAGCACTGGTGGTGGCTAGAAGCATTTTGTGAATGGGGCGTAGGCAGAGCAGGAGCCAGAGCAGAAGCCAGAGCAGGAGCCAGAGCAGAAGCCAGAGCAGAAGCCAGAGCAGGAGCCAGAGCAGGAGCCAGAGCAGGAGCCAGAGCAGTAGCCAGAGCAGGAGCCAGAGCAGGAGCCAGAGCAGAAGCCAGAGCAGGAGCCAGAGCAGGAGCCAGAGCAGAAGCCAGAGCAGGAGCCAGAGCAGGAGCCAGAGCAGGAGCCAGAGCAGGAGCCAGAGCAGAAGCCAGAGCAGGAGCCAGAGCAGGAGCCAGAGCAGGAGCCAGAGCAGAAGCCAGAGCAGAAGCCAGAGCAGGAGCCAGAGCAGGAGCCAGAGCAGGAGCCAGAAGCTGTGGCACAGTCTTTCAGTCTGAATTTGCGCTACCGCTTCATGTGTGTGTGAGAGATTTTGAACACAAACCTGGATGAGCGAAGCTGCAGCTGGGATCTGCCGGTTGAAGTGTTTCTGTCTCTGCTTCTGCTGAACTTTGAGGGCAAAACCCGAGCCCAAGATCCCCTAATGTCATACACAAGGTTATTTTAGTACGTAATCATCGTAGAGATATGTATAAAGTGTGGATGGAAGGCACTTACAGCAGGAAGGGCGAAGAAGGAGATGGCAAACACACTGAAGCAAGACGCGATTGCTTTTCCAATCCAGGTCTGAGGAATCTTGTCCCCGTAACCGATCGTAGTGACCGTCACCTACAAGGAACAGCAAAAACATGATGGTTCAGGTCCTGGGTCTACAGCCTCAGTCCTAGGTCTACAGCCTCAGTCCTGGATCTACAGCCTCAGTCCTGGATCTACAGCCTCAGTCCTGGATCTACAGCCTCAGTCCTGGGTCTACAACCTCAGTCCTGGGTCTACAACCTCAGTCCTGGATCTACAGCCTCAGTCCTGGATCTACAACCTCAGTCCTGGATCTACAGCCTCAGTCCTGGATCTACAGCCTCAGTCCTGGGTCTACAACCTCAGTCCTGGGTCTACAACCGCAGTCCTGGATCTACAGCCTCAGTCCTGGATCTACAGTCTCAGTCCTGGATCTACAGCCTCAGTCCTGGATCTACAGCCTCAGTCCTGGGTCTACAACCTCAGTCCTGGATCTACAGCCTCAGTCCTGGATCTACGGATCTACAGTCTCAGTCCTGGATCTACAGCCTCAGTCCTGGATCTACAGCCTCAGTCCTGGATCTACAGTCTCAGTCCTGGATCTACAGCCTCAGTCCTGGATCTACAGCCTCAGTCCTGGATCTACAGCCTCAGTCCTGGATCTACAGCCTCAGTCCTGGGTCTACAACCTCAGTCCTGGATCTACAGCGTCAGTCCTGGATCTACAGCGTCAGTCCTGGATCTACGGATCTACAGTCTCAGTCCTGGATCTACAGTCTCAGTCCTGGATCTACGGATCTACAGTCTCAGTCCTGGATCTACAGTCTCAGTCCTGGATCTACAGTCTCAGTCCTGGATCTACAGTCTCAGTCCTGGATCTACAGCCTCAGTCCTGGATCTACAGTCTCAGTCCTGCATCTACAGCCTCAGTCCTGGATCTACAGTCTCAGTCCTGGATCTACAGCCTCAGTCCTGGATCTACAGTCTCAGTCCTGGATCTACAGTCTCAGTCCTGGATCTACGGATCTACAGTCTCAGTCCTGGATCTACAGTCTCAGTCCTGGATCTACAGCCTCAGTCCTGGATCTACAGTCTCAGTCCTGGATCTACAGCCTCAGTCCTGGGTCTACAACCTCAGTCCTGGGTCTACAACCTCAGTCCTGGATCTACAGCCTCAGTCCTGGATCTACAGCCTCAGTCCTGGATCTACAGTCTCAGTCCTGGATCTACAGCCTCAGTCCTGGATCTACAGTCTCAGTTCTGGGTCTACAACCTCAGTCCTGGATCTACAGCCTCAGTCCTGGATCTACGGATCTACAGTCTCAGTCCTGGATCTACAGCCTCAGTCCTGGATCTACAGCCTCAGTCCTGGATCTACAGCCTCAGTCCTGGATCTACAGTCTCAGTCCTGGATCTACAGCGTCAGTTCTGGATCTACAGCGTCAGTCCTGGATCTACGGATCTACAGTCTCAGTCCTGGATCTACAGTCTCAGTCCTGTAGATCCAGGACTGAGACTGTAGATCCAGGACTGAGACTGTCCTGGATCTACAGTCTCAGTCCTGGATCTACGGATCTACAGTCTCAGTCCTGGATCTACAGTCTCAGTCCTGGATCTACGGATCTACAGTCCCAGTCCTGGATCTACAGCCTCAGTCCTGGATCTACAGCCTCAATTCTGGATCTACAGCCTCAGTCCTGGATCTACACACATTAGTCCAGTTCTCAGGTCTCTGCTTCCTGTGGCTCAGAGACCAGACTTTAAAGTAGTTCTGTTTGTTACAAGTCTCTCCACGGCCTCGCACCAAAGTACATCTGCGACATGTTAGTGCCATATGAACCAAGGGGAACTCTGAGGAGCACAGGGACTGGTCTCCTGCAGGTGCCCAGAGTAAACATGGACTAAACATGGGGAGGCAGATTTTCAGGTGTACATTATATTACTAAGAACTTATGGAAAAATATCTGAATTCATGATTTTAACCTGTTTTTATTTTACACATGACATTGTAAAGCTTTGACCAACTGTTGTAAAAATTCATATTCTGTCTATTTTGAAATTGGCCTCTTAAAAAACCTTATCCGTCATTGACCCGTATGCAGCTAAAATCTGGAACAGTCTTCCTGAAAATGTGAGACAATGTTCAAATCCAGGTTAAAAACAGTTATGTTTAGCTGTGCATACAACTGAGGGATTGTATCTTGCCTTTTTTAATATAGTGTGATTATTTATGCCTTGTATTGTTTCTAGTTTGTTTTGTTCAGCACAGTGTTGTTTATGAAGTGCACTATACAAATAAACTTGCCATTACCTCGCCATAATCTGTAATTATATGAAATTGTGTGTAACTTTTGTCCAGGACTCCATTGAAAAAGTGGTTCTTAATCTCAATGGGACTTCCCTGGTTAAATAAAAATATATAGAATCAGGCGATTTCCGCTCACAGGGTCCGACCGGTGAGACCGAGAGCTGGGGAAAACCCACAAAAACCACATAAATCACGACAGGATTTGCATAAGCTGATAAAAATGCAAAAATCTACTATGATTAACTTACAGCTGACAGCGGGGGGTTATCTGAGCCTCCGCAGTAACACAATAGTCACAAATCCCCCGGTTGAAGTTTTAATTAAAGAAACCGACACTTTCAATTGAGGCCCCTAAAGTTGTGCGAGTGTGAAATCCCGGCGTGGCATTGTGTTGCGATGATCCCGTGCACTCTGCGGCCATAGGTTTCTCATTACGCTCGGCATTCGATTCAAATGATTAATTAACTGCTCTGGAAACTTCAATCTCCGCCAAGAAAGGACACGACAAAACGCGCTTTAGCCACAAAGACATCAATACACCTGCCACAAGTGTGCGCCCGACGACCGGACAAAAGAACCGGGTCAAAAGTAGATCCCTGTGTTACCATGCTAATCCACTTGAATCTGTAATGGAGCTTCTTATTGGTGTGGGACTGTGTAACTGATGAATGATATCACTCGAGTCCTTCTTTGCAGCTGTAGGAAGGTCTAAAGACAGGACATTTATGCACATTTATTAACATTTATGGACATTGGTTGTCCCGTTCCCTCTGGACCGATGGCTTCTGTGTGTTTGTTATTAATGCATTTCCTTCTGTTCTGATCTATTGTTGGCAAATCCACAACTTTGTGAAGTCCCCTGAGACGATTTCTGCTGGATCTACAGCCTCAGTCCTGATCTACAGCCTCAGTCCTGGATCTACAGCCTCAGTCCTGATCTACAGCCTCAGTCCTGGATCTACAGCCTCAGTCCTGATCTACAGCCTCAGTCCTGGATCTACAGCCTCAGTCCTGATCTACAGCCTCAGCCCTGGATCTACAGCCTCAGTCCTGGATCTACAGCCTCAGTCCTGATCTACAGCCTCAGTCCTGGATCTACAGCCTCAGTCCTGATCTACAGCCTCAGTCCTGGATCTACAGCCTCAGTCCTGGATCTACAGCCTCAGTCCTGGGTCTACAGCCTCAGTCCTGGGTCTACAGCCTCAGTCCTGGATCTACAGCCTCAGTCCTGGGTCTACAGCCTCAGTCCTGGGTCTACAGCCTCAGTCCTGGATCTACAGCCTCAGTCCTGGGTCTACAGCCTCAGTCCTGGGTCTACAGCCTCAGTCCTGGATCTACAGCCTCAGTCCTGGGTCTACAGCCTCAGTCCTGGATCTACAGCCTCAGTCCTGGATCTACAGCCTCAGTCCTGGATCTACAGTCTCAGTCCTGGACCTACAGCCTCAGTCCTGGACCTACAGCCTCAGTCCTGGATCCACAGCCTCAGTCCTGGATTTACAGCCTCAGTCCTGGATCTACAGCCTCAGTCCTGGATCTACAGCTTCAGTCCTGGGTCTACAGTCTCAGTCCTGGACCTACAGCCTCAGTCCTGGACCTACAGCCTCAGTCCTGTTGCTTCCGTCATCACCGTGCGTGGAGTGAGTGGAACAATATCTGAACTCTGCACATTGTAAAGCGCTTTGGGTGACCTTGGTCTTTAAAAATGCACTATAAAAAAAACTCCCCATGTCAGTATCGAACCCTCAGCTGTGTGAACTCTTACCACTCCCCACCACAGGGCGTCTGCGTAGCTGGAGAAGCCTGTTTTCCCTTCCTCATCCACAGCATCTTTCTCCGCCAGGTAAACGAAGTAGGAGGAAAAGATTAGACCCAGAAATCCAATGTACAAGGTCGTGATCAACTCCTGCAAAAACCCAGAGCACACAGCGTTTGTGAAGGCTGCGGCAGCGAACGTGACTATCTTGCGCTCTTACTTGTCGATGGATAAAGACTACAGATCCCAGAAGCCTCCAGGTGCCTCCTTGTCGGTCCACGTGCAACATGCGCAGGATTTGGAGGAAGCGTATGCCCCTGTGACACCCAAAAAATCTTGTTCACACTCTAAAAGAATCACTCAGATAAGGTAAAGGGGAGTCATTCATATCTACAATAATACTACTGTTTGACACACGTGCAAAAAAAGATTGATTTGTCTTCAGATGATGAAAACCTAATAAAAATATGTATAAAATTGAAGATGGAGGCCAAATCAGATCCATGTTCTGCCATAAGAGACGGTCCTACTGAATTTGGATCAGACTTATATACAATTAAGTCTGGCTTCAGCCCATCGACTGTAAAGATATGGGCAATGCTAACAAGGAATGATAACATAGACTGTATATAGAAATATGTAATTGAAATGTTGTTTTTAGATTATCTTTTTAATGAATTCTGAGAACGGCCGGGTATATTTGTACTCTCGTCTCCTAGAGGTCTGGCGGGAGGTGTTCATGCAGATGTGGGCCATTGTCTCCTTGGCGTCCTGTGTCCTGTATGCATATGTTCCCTTTCCCCTGGCTGTTTGGGGTTGTGTTTTGAGACTGTGGTTCATTGAATAAAGTAGGTTGCTTCGTGGAGGAGAGATTAGACGACCTTGGCTTGGAGCTGTGGAAACACGGCTGCTTTCTTCTGTCTCCTCCACGGACGTCTAGCCATGTAAAAGAGAATGACAACTTCGGCCTAACCTTTGTGTGCTTTTGTCCAGATGACCTGCAGTCGAACTAGATTTATCAAAATACAATGCTTAGATAGACTGTATATAGACGGACAATGCATAAACTGTATTTAGTAGATGGATAATGCAAACCCGCAAGCTCAGGGAAGCACAATGGGAGAGTGCTCATGGATAAAGTTTAGCTCTGGCTCCTATTGACATACATTGAAAAGTAAATCGTTTGTGTCACACTCAGCATTTTGGGCTGAAAAAAATCCATGGTTTAGCGCTCTCTGTGAACCTGGTGTTTATATTCTCCTATCTGTTTGTCAATCCAGATATGATTCAAACGGATAGCAATTCTCTTAGTAAGACGTCTGCCTCTGCCCTGGAACAAACGCCCATTAGCTTGGCTCCAGCTAGCTTATGTTCAAATCAAACTACTACTGTACCTGATGGCTGACGTGGCAAAGACCTGGCCATTGGATCCTACTCCGAGAACGATTATTGATGCTATGACCACGATCAGATCTGGAAGAACAGCCAAAGATTTCACAGTTAGATCAATGTTTTAAAAGCACCACATCAGGGGTCTCCAACCTGTAGCTCGAGAGCAACCAGTAGCTCCCCAAAGGATTTAGAAAAGAACATTCAAACCCCAAATCAACTTTTTTTAACTCATAAACTGTATTCATATGTTTCTTATAGTGCTCTCTAGCTCCCTATCCAAGTATTACACAAGTTGACAGCCAAAAAATGGTCAGGGGTTTCTCAACTGATTTAGACTAATGTTGGTGTTCTGAGTCCGAATATCACATGCATTTTGCTCTATCAGGTCAACTTTTTGAGATACAGCCATAGTGTTACGGATTATGTCTACGTTATTATGAATTCTGCTTATCAAATTTGATGGAGTAAATAAAAACTGAATGACTTTGGATACGTTGACTTTTATTTCTTCAGCTGATGATGAAATTTGTTTTTTACGCAAAATCGATTTAAAAAAATATTTCTGTAGCAAAAAATCCTGACCTGATTGAGCAAAACCAAGGTCATTTTCGGACTCAGAGCATCAAAATTAGTCTAATTCAGCTGCAAAACCCTGGACTATTTTCAAAAATTATTTTTTGTTACCCAGTGTTATTCATTATTATACATGTATATTTTAGTAATTGCACTGACTTTGTAGCACTAGTAACAGATTTGCAATGATAAATAATGACTGTACCCAATATCAGACTTAATCACATCACTCTATCACAAGTTTTCCCCCAGGGAGTAGCTTAAAGGAGTAGCTCTCTGCCTTTATCGCCCCGGGAAAGTAGCTCTCTGGGTCAAAAAGGTTAGCCTGACTCTCGCCAGACCCATGTAGTTTGCTGCACTTCACACATGAGTCTGGTACTGAGCCATAGTGGTTGGATTTCAGAAGGCAGGGCCTTGTAAAAAAAAATCCTTGTATGTGATTGGATAGACCACTTGTCCGTTATCTTGATGGAAGTCTGCTTTCAACCACTCACATCGAAGCACACGGCTCCCATAGGTTGCCAAATCCCAGCAAGATTTTCCAACCCAAAATCCGCGAGAATACCCACACAAAAAACACTCAGAATGATTTTTTGGCTAAAAACGTAATATAATCAACTTGGGCTATCATGATTCTGTTTATTGTCTTTCTGTTTATTTAATACCTACAAGTCTCTTGGAAAAAAATATGCGGGAACCACCAAACCTGGCAACCCTGCTGCATAGTGTGTAAACAGGAACACTGAACCAGTGCTTCATCCAAACTTTACAGGAACATTTGACTCTTAAAACACATATATCAACATAGAACCATCTACATCTCGCCTCAAATTGCATTAAAAGTGACATCCGTGTCTTAATTCGATCGTATTTACTCTTTTAAAAAGATTCGCAGACTTTACGTCCGCCATCTTGGATTCCTCTCGCTGCTGCATGAGAGAAGCTTGAGAAGGCAGCGCAAACCCCACGAAACACCGGCAATCCTGATTGGTCGATTAAAAAATAATCTGGGGAAGGCGTTCGCTATGGGCTCGATACCAGACCCATGTGGTTCAGCCAAACACCTCTGGTGGAGCATGGCGGAACTACAAGGGTCTGGCAGAGCCAGGCTAGAAAAAGGTTGGAGACACCGGAAGTCCATGAATGGGTGCACAACACAAGTAAAAGAGGATTGAACCTATGATGGAGATGGGTTTCCTGATAAAGCGGAGTCGTCCTTTGATGCCTGAGTATTTGCTGCGACAGCCCGCTGACCACAGCCGCACCACGTACTCCGAGCCGAAGAACACCACCAACACCATCTCCTGCGGGCCACAGACACAAGACCGTTATACATGCTCCAACACAGCGACGCAGCGGTTAGACATTCAGTGGATTTGTGGACAGCAATACACTTTACAGTTGTCGAGTTGGCAACACCAGATCAGAGAATCAAACACAGAAACACAGGAAATGCAATGACAAAAAACTTTCAATTTTTCACTTTCAATGAATCAGTGCATTACTAAGAAATTATGGGACTAAATGGAACAACAGGCAAAGAAGGTGGAGGCTGGAGAATCTCTCAACTCATAAAACATTAATTAAAATCGTATTAAATAATGTTGGTGGAGATGATCTTGATAATTGACTGTTTTTTTTTTTCTCCAACACACACACACACGCACACACACACACACACACCACACACCACACGCACACCACACACACACACACACACGCACACACACACCCCTACCCCTCCCTTATGGTAATATTTCATGTTGTCTCAATATTTGTATTTCTTTGTATGTCCCCATGTTTTGTCGCTGCTTCAATTATTAGAATTTTTTGTACCACTTTTGTCCATGTGTCACTTTTGTATGTCTTTGTATCAATTAATTAAAAAAAATAAAAAAATATTCTAACTAAATGGGAATCACTGGCAATTGTTTGCAACTTCATGAGTGCTACGATGGCACGTTATACCTCATAATAATTCATCAAAAAACATGAATCTGTCCACAATACATAGCTTTAGTCCAGCTTTGGTACCTTCCATACTTTACCAATTTACACACAAACACAAAAATAATATCTTCAGCTTTCCTTCTTTCTCTTCTGTATTCATGTTCATCAAATACACACATTCTTGTTCATTTCTAACTGAAGTTTCTTAATCTCAAGGATGTTGTTCTAATCCAAATAAAATGGTGACCACATGAAAACGAGTCCAGTCTCCCACAATGCCCCGCTGCACCCAGACAATAATTGGACAATAACCCAACCCCGGGATGATGTGAATGTTAATAACCAATCTCAGGTCCTTGATGCCGCCACAGATATGATATCACAGAGTGTGTTTTGACCCCAGAAATCTGTGAGGGTCATTAGTCAGACTTAGTGCTGTAGAATGAGCAGGTCATGACAGGTGCGCTCAGTGGGAGACTAGGTGGTCTCATAAAGCAGGACCACCCACCCCAGGGCAGCCATGGAAGGTGATAACTCTTTTGTTATTGAGGCGCGGTCGATGCCTGAGATTGAAGCCACATGAGGGAATGCCAGCGCTGCCCGGAGAGATAAGGTCTGACTTCTGCGGATGACATCTGTTCTGAGGGTAAACACGGCTGCTACACTTTCGCTGAACATGTGGGATTCTCATTATTTTAAATCTAGCTTCTACAAGACCTATACTTAGCCATATTCTACTCTACTCTGGTCTACTCTACTCTACTCCGATGGGGAGTGTTTCCACCGGCCCTCTTTAACCACTCCCTTTAGGCCCTGGTTCTATCCAGGCCGAGCTGGTACTAAAGGGTTCTAATGGACAGTTAGTTGGAGTGCTGCTGGAACAGGCTCACTAAAATCTCAATATTGTGTAAATATATATTTTCTTTTTTCTCTAAATGTATTAAAAGTTGCTTTTGAGAGTCACAATCCGGTTACGTTTAAGGTTAGGGATACAGGTTAAAACAGTTCATTTGGAGGCCCACATTGAGGGAGGGATCCCACCGAGAGAGATCTCCAGGACTAAGGCTGTAGATCCAGGACTCAGTCTGTGGATCCAGGACTGAGGCTGTAGATCCAGGACTGAGGCTGTAGATCCAGGACTGAGGCTGTAGATCCAGGACTGAGGCTGTAGATCCAGGACTGAGGCTGTGGATCCAGGACTGAGGCTGTTGATCCAGGACTGAGGCTGTAGATCCAGGACTGAGGCTGTAGATCCAGGACTGAGGCTGTAGATCCAGGACTGAGGCTGTAGATCCAGGACTGAGGCTGTAGATCCAGGACTGAGGCTGTAGATCCAGGACTGAGGCTGTAGATCCAGGACTGAGGCTGTAGATCCAGGACTGAGGCTGTAGATCCAGGACTGAGGCTGTAGATCCAGGACTGAGGCTGTGGATCCAGGACTGAGGCTGTGGATCCAGGACTGAGGCTGTAGATCCAGGACTGAGGCTGTAGATCCAGGACTGAGGCTGTAGATCCAGGACTGAGGCTGTAGATCCAGGACTGAGGCTTTGGATCCAGGACTGAGGCTGTAGATCCAGGACTGAGGCTGTAGATCCAGGACTGAGGCTGTAGATCCAGGACTGAGACTGTGGATCCAGGACTGAGGCTGTGGATCCAGGACTGAGGTTGTGGATCCAGGACTGAGGCTGTAGATCCAAGACTGAGGCTGTAGATCCAGGACTGAGGCTGTAGATCCAAGACTGAGGCTGTAGATCCAAGACTGAGGCTGTAGATCCAGGACTGAGGCTGTGGATCCAGGACTGAGGCTGTAGATCCAGGACTGAGGCTGTAGATCCAGGACTGAGGCTGTAGATCCAGGACTGAGGCTGTAGATCCAGGACTGAGGCTGTAGATCCAGGACTGAGGCTGTAGATCCAGGACTGAGGCTGTCTTTGACCAGGTGTTTAAACTCACTGTTGACTTGTGGTCAAAGCAAAAGGTAAATAACACTGTGAAGTCTGAGGAGGCAAACATTAGCTCACGTTAGCATTCCTACCTTAGCTGTTAGCTTCCATGTCAGAACTCATTTACAATAATCATGTGTCCTCTTAGCTACTAAAACTGGATGTAGGGAGAAAATAAGTCCATAAACCGCTCTGACCACATCCAAACTCTACCACAGAGAATATAGGCCGCAAGATTCAGAGAAGAAAGTCGTAACTTATAGTCCAGCAAATACAACAGAAATAGAATCAAAATGACTGAAGAAATGTGTCAAAGTGCTGTGGATATAGGTCAAATCCATACATTGCTTCTGTTAGCGATGCTGCCTGCATTCCCCTGTGTGTGTGTATGCATAATATTAGCTTAGCGTGCTCGGGGCCCGGGTCCGTGTGGGTGGCCATCACACTGATTGCACCTTGAGCGTCTCTCGTATGAAACTCAAAACCGGGAATGGAAACTGCAAAAACACCGCACCACCGAAGAGGCAACAAAGAGCTGCCAGTCAAAGCACGGATTATCACCGAGAACACAAGCTGTAATCTATCATCTTTAAATAAAACACAGGAAGTAGAAATTACAGCAGAAAACCACAATGTTTAGTTACGGACGATTATGAGGTCGTTTTTTTTTTGTTTTTTTTTTACCGGTGAATTAGATTTAGACTTTATTATCATTGCAATGTCAGATTAATGTATAGGATACAAATATGTGATCTAATTATATATTTACAACAGAGATAAATATATATAAATATAGAGATAAATATATATGTAAGACTGTACAAGCTGCTGTTGCTATATATATATACATCAATTATATTAAATTACATTAACCTGCTTTAACGAGGAGTTAAGGATGTAAAGGTCCCTGTGGTCTGTGTCTCTATGTGTCTATAAGTACCTGTGTCTCTATGTGTCTATATGTACCTGTGTCTCTCTGTGTCTATATGTACCTGTGTCTCTATGTGTCTATATGTACCTGTGTCTCTCTGTGTCTATATGTACCTGTGTCTCTATGTGTCTATATGTACCTGTGTCTCTATGTGTCTATATGTACCTGTGTCTCTACCTGTGTCTATATGTACCTGTGTCTCTATGTACCTATGTCTATATGTGTCTATATGTACCTGTGTCTCTATGTGTCTATATGTACCTGTGTCTCTATGTGTCTATATGTACCTGTGTCTCTGTGTGTCTATATGTACCTGTGTCTCTCTGTGTCTATATGTACCTGTGTCTCTATGTGTCTATATGTACCTGTGTCTCTATGTGTCTATATGTACCTGTGTCTCTGTGTGTCTATATGTACCTGTGTCTCTCTGTGTCTATATGTACCTGTGTCTCTCTGTGTCTATATGTACCTATGTCTCTGTGTCTAGATGTACCTGTGTCTCTCTGGGTCTATATGTACCTGTGTCTCTCTGTGTCTATATGTACCTATGTCTCTGTGTCTAGATGTACCTGTGTCTCTCTGGGTCTATATGTACCTGTGTCTCTCTGTGTCTATATATACCTATGTCTCTCTGTGTCTATATGTACCTGTGTCTCTGTGTCTATATGTACCTGTGTCTCTCTGTGTCTATATGTACCTATGTCTCTGTGTCTATATGTACCTGTGTCTCTCTATGTGTCTATATGTACCTATGTCTCTGTGTCTATATGTACCTGTGTCTCTGTGTGTCTATATGTACCTATGTCTCTGTGTCTATATGTACCTGTGTCTCTCTTTGTCTATTTTTACCTGTGTCTATATGTACCTGTGTCTCTGTGTGTCTATATGTACCTGTGTCTCTGTGTACCTATGTCTCTGTCTATATGTACCTGTGTCTCTGTGTGTCTATATGTACCTGTGTCTATATGTGTCTATATGTACCTGTGTCTCTATGTGTCTATATGTACCTGTGTCTCTCTGTGTCTATATGTACCTATGTCTCTGTGTCTAGATGTACCTGTGTCTCTGTGTGTCTATATGTACCTGTGTCTCTGTGTCTATGTGTACCTATGTCTCTGTGTCTATGTGTACCTGTGTCTCTCTGTGTCTATATGTACCTGTGTCTCTGTGTCTATGTGTACCTATGTCTCTGTGTCTATATGTACCTGTGTCTCTCTGTGTCTATATGTACCTGTGTCTCTCTGTGTCTATATGTACCTGTGTCTCTCTGTGTCTATATGTACCTGTGTCTCTCTGTGTCTATATGTACCTGTGTCTCTCTGTGTCTATATGTACCTATGTCTCTGTGTCTATATGTACCTGTGTCTCTCTATGTGTCTATATGTACCTATGTCTCTGTGTCTATATGTACCTATGTCTCTGTGTCTATATGTACCTGTGTCTCTCTATGTGTCTATATGTACCTATGTCTCTGTGTCTA